AACTCAAGGGCGAAGCAAGAGACTGGAACGACATCCTCCTTCCACTCACAGGAGGAAGCAGCCCAGAGGCGTTGAAGAACCTTGCCCAGGCCCATTGGCGGCAATTGATGAGGGGGACAAGCGCACCATCTATGATGGCAGCTGGTGCCGGGCCAATGCCCACATTCAACAGAACACGGTGGAAAAGACCACGGCGCCCACAGTCACTGTGGCTGAATACGGATACAAAGTAAGCCCCCTTCTTATAACTTGACTTATATCATGAGTTAACATCTGTTATAACTAGGGGTGTCTTATGTTTTGAATTCCATAACTTTTCTTGAGCTATATCATATATCTGAGTTATGGATTTTAAATGTAACTTTTATCTTTTAAGTTGAAAGATACTAAACAGATACAAAAAAGTTAGCAAAGTTAACTTTTTGTTTTTCGATTTTTGAAACTTAGCTCGGCTTGCCTTTTTCTGTTGATTTGCAAAATATTGCTGCTTTGGTTCAGACGTATGCGTTTTGCGCAATTTTGGAGCCACCGCCTGTTTCTTTGGCTTTTTTGCCATGGCACGGAGGGTGCCGCCTCAAGCTGCTTCTGAGCAGTCTAGTGCCCAAATGCAAGCAAGAGTGGACACATTTCCCTTTTGTATCTGATTCAAGATGTTTGGGAGACATTGAGAAACTCTGAAAGACAGCTTCGTAAAGTGGAAGTACTCGCTAGTTATTTGACTAGCCTTGGTCTCCGTTATCCATCAGAGCGTACCATAGCGATGGAACGGGGTTGCTGGCACCACAACTGAACCGGAACCGCACAGGCCAGCTGAGAAAAACGCTTCTGTGGGTGAACGGAGTAGATAGCAACTAAAAACACATAACGCGGGTGTATATTGTTGTAACCGAAGGGAAAAGCTAAAGACGCGTATGTGTTTTCTATCCATGACCCCAGAACGCGTATGTGTGTTCATACCTCTCCTCGTGTCTTTGTTTGATATGAAACTGTGTTAGAGATGTTTTATTCGTGTTTTTTGGTGTTTTTTTCAATGTTTCCTGGCAAACAAGACAGCACCTGAAACAAAAACGCGTATGTATATTATCCGCTTTATTTTTGCAGTCCGAAAAACACGTATGTGTTTTGACGTTTTTAAGCCCCCCAAGAGAATATACGTATGTGTTTTTGCCACACTCATGTCTAGAGAAAAAACAAACAAGGTTGTCCGCAACTCTGTATCTCTTGAGCAGGAGTTTTTGATCTGCTTTGGGGCGGCAATGCTTGCAATGTTGATTGGTGCCACTCCTTCGTGTCCAAAAACAATGAACTCTTCATATAAATGACCATGTATGAGCTGACAAATCGAAGCGCAGCCTTGCATAAAATTCCAACTGACAAATCAAAAGAAAATGATCAAGTGGTCAAATATTTTGGCACCGTGTGTGCCAAGCTGGTGGAAACAGATTCATATGCATGTGCAATGTTTGCCGTGAATGCATCCAATTTGAAACTGTTCTTTGCACCATGCTTGCCAAGCGGAAAAATGATGACATCGTGAGATCTCAAGTATTTCTCAAAAAAACATCTAAAAACGCATTTTTTCCTCCGACTAAAAAAGTGCAAAACTAAAAAGATACAAAAAAGATACCCAAGTTATAACTTATAACTTGACTTATTTCCTCAGTAACTTGACTTAACATAACTTCAGCATAACTTCCTTAACTCAATTTATAACCTCCATAACTTCAACATAAGTTGGGGGCGGCTCCTTGTAAGGAGGGCCCCACCCCAGCCACGGGCACTGACATGGGGTGGAAACACCTTCAGAAGACCACTACATGGGCGATACTCAAAGCTGATGTCACGAAGGCCCTCCGAAGAAGCTTGTCTTTGTTGATGATTTTTGCTGGCTTTTGGGGACTGAGACGGCAACCCAGGACACAGCTCAACTGCTCCTACTTCTCGCAGCTCTTGGTTTCCCCCTTAGCTGGCACAAAACTGTCTTATCTGAGGTCAACACATGGCTGGGGTTCCAGGTCAACCCATGTGGCCCACTTGTAGGCTTCGCCCCTGGAAAAGAAGACCGTCCTTGGAGTTCTGCTCCAACGGATCATTGCCAAGGACATTGAGAAAGCCCTGGGCAGGCTTAACTGGGCTACATCCGCATGGCCACTCAGCCGTCCATTCCTTCAACCCTTCTAGGCGTGGAAGGCAGCAACTAATGTTGCCTCATCAATAGTGATATCTTGTCAATAGTAGAAACTTTTTCCGCAACTCCAGTTAACCCTCAAGTCAATTAGCTCCATTTACTTTTAGTCTTGCCAAAAGAGTCATGTTCAGACCTTGTCCAGAGGGCATGGCCAATAGTGGACCCAACATGGCAATAGTAGAAACTTTTTTCCCAACTCCAGTTTTTTCTCCAATACTAAAAGTCAATTAGCCTAATTTAATTTTAGTATTGCCAACAAACTCATGTTCTGACCTTGTCCAGAGGGCATGGTATAGTATCCGGAGCTTAGATTCCAGAAATCTGATACAATTACCAAACAGCTGATTTCCTTATAAAACCCTTATTTAAAAAAACAAGAAAACAGGTCCACAAAGGGTATCCCCTTTACAAGCCCCAGAATAGCAATAATAAACTTGCACCAGGCATGGCAATAATGAATTCCAATTGCGCTTCCCCTGGTTTTGTTTTCAGGTGTTTGGAGAAAGCAAAGTAAAGCAAAACCCTTTTCAAAGCAGCAAGCACTTTTCATTAACAAAAGCTTAGACTCCAGAAATCTGATCCAATTACCAAACAGCTGATTTCCTTATAAAACCCTTATTTACCAAAAAATACTTTAATTCGAGTTATCCCCACCATGACATTTATACATTTTGTTACTGGCAAATCTTCTGGCATTCTATCTGACATATCTTCTGGCATTTTATCTAGCATATCTTCTGGCATTCTATCTGGCAAATCTTCTGGCATTCTAACTGGCATATCTTCTGCAATCTGTTCTGGCATATCTTCTGGCACTCTATCTGGCATATCTTCTAGCATATGTTCTGACATTCTATCTGGCATTCTATCTGGCAAATCTTCTGGCATTCTATCTGGCAAACATGCTGGCACTTTATCTGGCATACCTACTGGCATTTTTTCTGACATTCTATCTGGCATACCTTCTGGCATTCTATCTGGCATATCTTCTGGCATATCTTCTGGCATTTTATCTGGCATATCTTCTGGCATTCTATCTGGCATATCTTCTGGCATTCTATCTGACATTCTATTTGGCATATCTTCTGTCATTCTATCTGGCCGTTGAGGTCCAGCGGTGCACACTGAGCTGGGAAGGTCCCAGGTTGAGGTCCAGCGGTGCACACTGAGCTGGGATTGTCCCAGGTTGAGGTCCAGCGGTGCACACTGAGCTGGGAAGGTCCCAGGTTGAGGTCCAGCGGTGCACACTGAGCTGGGAAAGTCCCAGGTTGAGGTCCAGCGGTGCACACTGAGCTGGGAAAGTCCCAGGTTTAGGTCCAGCAGTGCGCACTGCGCTGGGAAGTTGGCGAAGAGCTTGGCGAAGAGTTGGCAAGGTGGAAGTTGAGGTGGAAGTTGATGCAGACATGGTCGAGGAGAAACTGGAGGAGGAGGCGGAGGAGGAGGAGGACGAGGAGGAGGAGGACGAGGAGGAAGAGGAGGAGGAGGAGAAGAGCTAGCCGAGGAGGAGAAGAACAGCTCTGATAAAATCTAACAACCCTCACCTGGCAGGTGGGGAACAAGAAAACAGGTCCACAAAGGGTATCCCCTTTACAAGCCCCAGAATAGCAATAATAAACTTGCACCAGGCATGGCAATAATGAATTCCAATTGTGCTTCCCCTGGTTTTGTTTTCAGGTGTTTGGAGAAAGCAAAGTAAAGCAAAACCCTTTTCAAAGCAGCAAGCACTTTTCATTAACAAAAGCTTAGACTCCAGAAATCTGATCCAAATTTACTATTGGAATGCTGACCCCCCCTAAAAAAAATCAAAATTACTTAACTTAGGGGGGGATTTACTATTGTGCAGCCAACATTACTACCTCAGGGAGACCTAGCAAGCTCATCCGCTCTTTTGCGCAATTACTCCTCCATCTGCTCCACCATCCTCAGGTCCAACCTTGCCCGTATGATCCTGCATCAAACTGGTGGGGGGCGAGTGATGCTAGCGCACACCCAGATGGACGAACATATATTGGAGGATGGTTAGCGGACAAAGAAAATCACTCAAAAGAGGACACCTGGTGGTTTCACTATCAGGTTCCGTTGGAGTCGGGCACACAAGAGGGGTTCCAACTCGTCGAATTTCTGCTCTGGAGATGTTTGGCACTCTGATCCTTACTCATTTCCTCCTGATCAAGGGAGGCAAGGCACTCCTCCGAACCCGTCTGAGCCTCATCTCCGACAACTAAGCCCAAATTTTTGGACTCTTGAACCAAAAGACCAAACAGATGCCCACCTCTGCCTTCCTGATGCAGCTCATTGTGATGCTCCATAAGGCAGGGGTGCAACTGGCCCCTTCACACATGAAGAGAGACTACAACCAGTGGGCTGATGAACGAACTCGAAGAGACGTAAGACCGATCCAAAGGCCACCTAAGGTCCTATGGAGCCTGGTGGTCGATTGAATGGTGGTCTGAGCACTTTTAGTGTTCTTAGCACCGGACGCGAAAGCCCCTGGCTTCGACACCCGAGTGGAAATGCTGTGTGACACCGCCACTACTTTTGGAAGTGGTTCCTGGAGAGAACCAAACTGATGATGCACGTGGCATCAAACAGAAAACCAGCCGCACAGGCCAACTGCATAGCAAAAGGTTAGTGCTGCTGCAGTTGCCCGCTTGTGGAAAGCAATTTTCAATTTTATTCGGGAACACAACAGAACATCCGGAATCGATGAAGAGCATAAACCAACTTTGCTATCTAAAACCCATGAAATTACAAATGAATCATGTGTTTTTCATTTTTCCAGGTAAAAACAATGGCACCAGATGCTCAGGTCATGGCCCTCCGATACTTCAACACCTTTATCGATGCGGAACCAGAACAGGTTGAGGCTTCCCCTGGGCGCTTGCATCGTTCAAAGAGCTGGCCACAACGTTGCCGGAGCTCTGGCGATGATATTTTTTTAGCGGTTTCCTGGAATCGGGGTACCCCAAAAATGGCCCAAATGCAGGTAAATATTACCTACGTGGAGCATCTGAGTTGCCAATTTTTTGGGGTGAATATGTGTGTGGGTGTGTTTAGAATTTGGTTTTTGTTGGCTGGAAATGTGAGATGAAACGCTTGGATCTATTTGGTTAGTGAATGGATTGGCTGGACCAATCTGAAACCATGGGCTTTGAGGTTTCCTCTAAATTATCCGCATCTGAGATTGACCATAATGGGGGAATATAAGTTGCGAAAAACTGTTTGAATTGATGAATATTTATTGGACCTGGAGTTACTCGAGACCAAGGAGTTATACCAATGTGGAGACCACCGATGGTGTGAACTATGTCACTAAGTTGGAGAGCAAGTGGAGCGTCACCTATGGTGAACGACTGCAAATGGCCCCAGCATCAGCGACAGATGTGCCCTGGATGTGTGTTTTTTTCGATGAATGGTTGATTTTCCCAATGTGGATTCCATCGAAATGCGGAATCTATACAATGTGGGACAATGTGGGTGCCCCGTTTACGATAGCTAAGTGGGTTTATAGTTCCAATGACTATGGTTTCTGATATACTTATAACATCTTATAACTTGTAAGTATAGCAATATCAAGTTTATCAACCAACAAACATAACTGGAGGCCCCACATTGACGGGATGATTTTCTTGAGCTGTCCTTTATAGCAAACCCAAGGAGACAGACGTGACTCCGATGACATCACAGAGCGGGCCTGTAGAAGCAGCTGGAGAGGCATCAGAAGCTCTACAGCTTTAGTTTGCCATGTGGTTTCCGTCAATGAGGGATCCCCAAAAGCTGGATTTGTTATGGAAAATCCATGAAAATCCAAAAATGAAATGGATGATGGCAGCCCTACTTGGAGGATCATCCCAGGAATCGTCAGTGGGTTAGTTCACCCCAGTTATAAGTGAACATTGCCCTTAGCCCATGCAGAACCAGGGTTATGACCTACTTACGAGCTGGGATGGACCACCAAGTGCAGCTGTACTTTAGTTTGCCATGTACCCTTTGGTGAAATCTAAGCATGGCAATTGAACATCCGGGATAAGTCGGGAATGCGAACATCATTGAGTTCGGCGATTTTCCAGACAGCCATGTTTCATTCCCAGAGGGTACCTCAAATATTAAATATAAAAAATGTCCAACATGTCGCACGGATTTGGCCAAATTACCGAGGAAAACGAGTCAGCGCCTGCTGCGCCTGCGCTTGCAGTTCCGCCCCCAGGTAGTGGTAGCCGTGGCCATCCAGCACTATGCCGCCGGCCATGCATCCGCTTGGCGAAAGGAAGCTGCGAACTGGGAGATGCCTCCTGGACTTGCTGCTGATTGTTTGGTATTTTCCCTAGTGGAAAATCGACCATGTTGTAGATCTATGGGGATCTATATAATGTGGTAAACGCAATAAACAATCCCCAAAAGCATCGTATACACAGAGCTCCAAATGCAAAAGCCACACCTGGTTTTCCCTTGCGCACAAAAAGGGCTGCATATTCAATGCCCACAGTGAAAAGGTTACACTTCTGATTTGCGCAACTGCCGATGCAAATGCTACACTCTTCTGATTTGTGCAACTGCTGATGCAAATGTCACACCTCTGATTTGTGCAACTGCCGATGCAAATGTTACACTTCTGATTTGTGCAACTGCTGATGCAAACGTTACACTTCTGGTTTGTGCAACTGCTGATGCAAATGGCACACTTCTGATTTGTGCAACTGCTGATGCAAACGTTACACTTCTGATTTGTGCAACTGCTGATATGCTGGAAGCATTGGTATTTCAACGCTCCCCCAGTGCCACACGTGGCACTCCTGGACTCAAGCCCCATTCGCAGACTGTGAAACCAGTCCAAGGAGATGCCAGTTCTGTCGCAACTGGCTTGTGGCTATGCATGATTTGGAAATAACCAGACTGATGCCAGGCAAATGTCATGGTTGATCTATTGGAAACATCTTCATCTCGGCTAACGTAATGCTTGATTCGTTCTTTTCGGTGCTCTCTGATGAGAATTCGATTCTCGGATGACTCAGAGCACTTCCATAGATCTGTGCCAGCTGTGCAAGGTTTCCGACACAAACCCTTCAGATGGTTTCCCTTTTGGAGCCACTCTGGAAATTCACTTTTCTTGGCCAAAATAAGACGTTCCATAGAAGAAAAATTGGTTCCTTTCCAGACCTCTTCCCACGTCAAACATGGCTTCTCGGTTCTGGTAGCGGAGCTGGATGCTTGAACTCGTATAGAGATTGATGATGGAGAGATACCGATTTCAGAAGCCTGTGATTGAACCTCCTTGACTTCAGCCTTCACACATTGAAACACCTGAAGATGCGCCACCACACAATAAAGGCTCTTGGCTGGAATTCTTGAGCAAAATCTCTTGACCTCGCCACAATCTGGAGAAATGGTTCCTTCTCCGACCCCTCCACCCCTCCTCAAGACATCCAGACAAGTGGTGAACCTTCCCTGTGTGGAACGTGGCACCCGGATCCTCAGCCCCATCCTCACCAGCGCATGCTCACCTGGATTGATAACCTTCTCCTCGCAGGGGTAGATGCACCATCCACCCGCTTTCTCCTCCGTCTTCCTGGGCAACTGGGCCTGCTCCCTGAGCCTCTCTACCTGAATGTCATCTCTTCCTCTGATCATCCTCCAGCCTTCTCTCCCGATGACCTCCACCATCTTGACTAGGCACATCGCAAGACCCAGAAGTATGAGTGGAAACCAATCCCACCCATCGCCAGACGCCTTGGAATCCACTGCCGCTGTGACCGGTAGATTAGCAAGACTGCCCAACCCAACCAATGCTGCTGCCACCTTCTCAACCTTCTCACCATCCAGCCGCAATAACTTTCTGACTACACCTCCTTCAGCATTCTTCTCACCTCAGCCAAGCAGATTCAAACCCTCCTTGAATCTTCGGAAAAGAGATGATGAAAGCTGTTTCGTGAAGCCATCAGCCACCAAAAACTGACCTGGACAGTGCTGCAGCAAAAACTCCTTGTTGCGCACTGCTTCTGTGAGGGCGCTTGCTCTAAGACGTAAATGCCTTGTACGCAAGCTGCCAGAGCTACCATTCACGATGGAAATAGCTGCGGCTGAATCGCTGAAGAGCCTTTTTTCTCCTCCCTTCTCTTCCAGTTCCTCAACTAAAACTGGAGACTCTTCTTGTGGCTGCAACTCCATCCATCACTGACAGTAACTCTGCTTCTGCCGTTGAAAGCGCTATGAAGGGCTGACGAACAGTCAACCAAAAAAC